ATGTCAACATCAGCCATCCGCAAGTGAATGGTTTACTTCTTACTCTGTCTGGTCCAGGACCCAATAGCTATCCATAGTTACGGTCCGCTGAAGCCCTCAAAGAGGAAAATATGATTGGATAACGCTATACATTTCAGTAGGGGACTATATAGATGTTTGGATTGGTAAAGACTCCATGAGATTAGTAGCCCGAAGCGCTTATTCTCGTAATGACTAGCTAAATTAATGGTCTCATGCGATAATTGGTCTTACTAATTCCGCACAACAACTATCATAAAGCCTATCATGTGGCGGCAATAGAGTAGAATACTTATTCTGGAAAGAACATCGATACGATCTACTTCTCCTAAGCACAGGTGGCATGATTCCGTGATTATTATAAGCTCTGCAGGAGGTCATTCACTCCTGTAAAGGGACCAGCTACTATCACGCTCGTTTTAAGATGGTATTATGCATAGCTAGCTTGTATTTCCAGATCGTGAACATGGACACATAGGAAATCTCCCTCTTCGACTTTGATCGATCGGCAGACCTTCAGGTGACGCTTTCTGGGACTAATATTGATTTTGTCCTTAGTATGAATAGCAAGAATGAGGAAAACATTGCCATAGAAGGAGAGTATATGCCCATCTTGATACATAGCACTCTGCACTTGCTATCGATAAGGTAACACAATCAACAAGGGCTATACTATTTGAAGTTTTTGACTCACTATCTCAACTGATCTAGCATTTCGTAGGTATTGATTATGATTACTCGCATGATTCTCGATTTATCACTGTTTCCCTCCCTCTACCCTGACCTTTAATTCTTCGAATTCTTTGTCCCAATTGAACATGGAGCCGTTGCCGCCTTGCTGGATCTTTCTCCGCTTATTGTTAGGTAATCTACGTGCTCTAGCCCTTTTTATGTAAAAGCGTAAGTAAAAACTCAATAACTGATCTGCTCTCTCTCTGCCCCATGCCTCGACCAAGGCCGTTCTTGTCCAAACTGACATTTCCCTTTCTTTATCCAACCGCGCAAGTACACGAACCGAGCCACGGCTGCCTACTACAATGTGTTGGACATGGAAACTCCGGAGCTTTATTTCACGAAGGCAATTTCCATCTCTCCTCCTAAGCTCTCTGCCCTTGTCCCCCATAAGCTTTTTCTCTATCTCGGAGGAGCGTCGCCTACTAATGAGAGACGCGTCCCTGCTAGGCATCCAACTGTCGAAGTGCAGTTTGGATGGCCTCTCAGGTGAATGATTGTTTGCTACTGAAGCTGGGTCAGAAGATTGGTCGCAATCATGGTACCTAAATGAACCTGGAGAGATCGAAGTAGCCGAATCACCGCCTGAGCCCCTTGTACCCCAGTATCTTTGGCTACGATGCCGCTTTGGTATTTCGCTTTTCCCTTTACCAGCTGTAGGCTTCCCTGTGGCTTTTTTCTTGCTTGCCGCATAAGGCTTGACAAGCTTCTCCTCATCACTCTCGTCACTTCCGTCATTCTCGTCACTTCCGTCACTCTCGTCAGTCTTTTGACTTCCGTCAGTCGTTTGACT